CATACTTGCAGGTTCGGTGAGTATGGGATTGGACGTACCTCGGGTGGCTGGAAGTTTCTGAACCCACCTCGCTTAGCTTGTTATAACGCTATGTTGCCTTGTTAGGTTGTAATGGTGTATTGTCTTGTCCCTTGGAAGAATTCCAAAGGCGAACGAATGCGAGGAGAATCACCTAAATTGCCATTCGGTCATTTTAACCAGATTAATTTCTTTGGAAGGCCACTGTCCCAAAAATACGGTCCAGTCTACTATATCTGGCACTGCTTTACTCCAGTTGTGTAAGTATAATATTTGTGTTTATAGTTATAGGAGTTGTTGTGTAAGTATAATATATATGTATGTATGTATATATGTATATATATATATATATATATATAATTTAATTTCTTAACTTAAAATATAGTCACAACTCTGAGTTTCACGCTCAATGCGATCTTCAGGCGACAATGTTTAAATCTCAATAAAAAAATTCCTGTGTGATTACGTGCGAGGAGTAATTCGAGATTATATTGGGATGACATCAAACACGTTTAAGAAACGTTATTACAACCACAAGACCTCATTCAAAGATACGAGCTATGTTAAATCCACTGAGCTGTCCAAACACATTTGGAACTTGAAAAACAAGAAACGTACATTCAAAATCAAGTGGTCCATTCTGAAGCAAGCATCATCTTATCGCAGCGGCGCAAAAACTTGCAACCTATGCCTCCAAGAGAAACTCGAAATTTTGAAAGGTGATAAGAAAAGATTGCTGAACAGGAGATGTGAGCTATTCTCGAAGTGTTGCCACCGGAAACAATTCTTGGCGGGAAAATTTGAACGTGCGCACGCAATACCATCACGCAAGTAGCCTAACGAACTCGCACGTAATCACACAGGAATTTTTTTTTATTGAGATTTAAACATTGTCGCCTGAAGATCGCATTGAGCGTGAAACTCAGAGTTGTGACTATATTTTAAGTTAAGAAATTAAATTATTTGCTCTACGTTATTAAATGGTATTGAGCACTCTTTCTACACTGTAAAATTTGATCATCTTTGGTCTCATTAATATTATATATATATATATATATATATATATATATATATATATATATATATATATATATATATATATATATATATATATATATATATATATTCAATATATATATATATATATATATATATATATATGTATATATATATATATATATATTTAAAAAACTCATTAATAATTCAGGAGCAAAACACAAAGAAAAATCATAAGCGTGTCGTGGTTTTATATGTGATAAAAAATCAGGTTAATTTACATAAACTTTAGCTTTGATTTTCTCGGTTTAGACAAAGTTTATTTTAAAAATTTCTTCGCCAATGAACTCGTATAAGATGAGTCGTTTTTTAAGCTATTTAAAGCACTTGTAGTCGTGTTTTATCACATATAAAACACTCCGCTACGCGTCGTGTTTTATATGTGATAAAACACTCCTACGCGTGCTTTAAATAGTACATATATATTTTTTTTATTTATTTGATTTTGCTCAATAATATTTATTTATTTACATGAAAATTCTAATATTAAGGAAGAAGAGGGCTAGGAGTCTATTTGAAACCATTTGGCTAGAAATATATTTACAATTGTTTTTTAATTAATTAAGTAAACCAGTTCAAAATCAAATTATTACAGTAGTCAATTTTGCGAATATATACGGTATATTATAATAATACAATTACAATTACAATTTGATATTCACAGTAATCAATAATCATAGAAATAAGCGTGTGGTGATTTGTTGTGCCCTATAGTTTGATAGAATTTATAAACTTCCGGTAGTTAATTAGATATGAAGAAAGTGTTTCTTTACCTCTCGTTTGAAGACGAAATGTGATTTTATTTGTTTGAAGTCTTTCGCAAGACAGTTCCAAATTTCGATTCCTTTGTTTGCTAGGGAATGTTTTGTGTAATTTGTTCTTTTGTAAGACTTGTGAAGGAGCGATGCATTTCTGGTATTGTGATGATGTATCTCGTTGTTGGATACAAAATAATTACAAAATATTTCTGGTAAATTTTGTACTTTGTAGTATCTGAACATAAATAAACTAGTTAAATACTTATTTATTTTGTAGATGTTGAGTATCTTAAGTTTCTTAAATATCGGATCAGTGTGCTCAAAATAAGAACTAAACGTTATCAATCTTACAAGTTTCTTTTGAATGGTGAAAAGTTTTTGAATACGTGTCTTATACGTATTCCCCCAAATAAGGTTACCATAGATAAGATATGGATAGACTAACACATAATAAATTAGTTTTAGAGAATTAATATTTGTGAAGTATCGGATTTTGGAAATTATTGCAGTAGCTTTGATAATCTTTTTTGAAACTAGTTCTATATGATATTTCCATGTCAAATATTCATCTATCACAATCCCAAGAAATGTTATACTTTTGACCTGTTTAATATTGTCATTATTCATTGAAAGTTTGATATCATGACTTGTTCTTTTGTTTGGAGATTTGAATAAAACAAATTTTGTTTTTTTCGTATTAATCGATAACTTATTAACATTAAGCCAATCTGTGATTTTATTTATTTCTGTTTGTATTATTTCATTCAAAGTCTTAAGGCAAGTGTGACTATGAAGTATACTTGTATCATCTGCAAATAATACCATGGAAACAAGTTCGCTGCAATATTGAATGTCATTTATATACAGGAGAAATAATAAAGGTCCTAAAATAGATCCCTGAGGAACACCACTGTTAATTGTGAATTCCTCTGATCGTACATCGTTGTATTTAACAATTTGTTTTCTGTTATTTAAATAGCTTTCAAACCATTTTTGTGCTATTCCTCGTATTCCGTAGTGTTCCAGTTTTTTAATCAGAATCCTGTGATTTATTGTGTCAAATGCTTTCGATAAATCAAGGAAAATGCCTATTGTGAATTCTCCCTGATCAATCGCAGCAGTAATTTTGTCGATAAAATCAATCATCGCAAGCTCCGTTGATCTGTTTTTCCTGAAACCGTATTGGTGTTTTGATAAGATTTTGTTTTTTTCCACGAAATTTATTAATCTATTGTACATTAACTTTTCTAATAATTTGGAGAAACACGTGAGAACAGATATAGGTCTGTAGTTTTCGAATCTAGTTTCATCGCTATTTTTAAAAATTGGTGTAACTAATGCTTTCTTTAAATCTTCAGGAATAACTCCATGTAGAAATGTTAAATTAAAAATGTGTGTTAGCGGTTTCGAAATGTCTTTAGCAATATGTTTTACGATTTTTGTACTTATATCATCATACCCAGAGCTTTTATTTGAGTTCATATTCATTATTTCATTTTCAAGTTCATTTTCAATAATTGGATTGAGAAAAAGACTATCTGTATAGTTACTTTTAAGGTATTTTTCAAAATTTATAGTTTTCTTTGTATTTATTTTTTGGCTAGATTAGGTCCAACGTTTGTAAAGTATTCATTAAATTTGTTAGCAATTTCGTGTGGATCATCTAAGACGTTTGTTGAATTTGTTTCAACAAATACTTTAGATATTTTGGTAGTTTTTCTTGAATTGTTTAACAATTCGTTTAGTGTTTGCCAAAGCATTTTCGTATTTTGTTTGTACTTGATAAGTTGTTCTTCATAATATTGTTTTTTCGAAATTCTTATAACATGATTTAGCTTATTTCTATATTTTTTGTAAGCCAACTCATTTTTACTAGTGGGGTTGTTTAAAAATTTCTTGTAAAGTTTATTTTTGCTCTTTACAGACTTTAATATGCATTTTGTCATCCATGGACTTTTATTTTTGTTAATTTTTGCTTTATTTTTTCCAACTGGAAAGTTAGCATTATATAAATCTGTCAACAACCGAGAAAACTCGTCAAAAGCTTTATCTGGGTTTTCAGTCTCGTTCAGTACAATATCCCACGATGTAGTTTTAATGGAATTTTTGAATGATTCTATGTTTGTTTTATTTATGATTCTTTTAAACATATAAGAATTTGAATTTTGTTGAATAATATTATGAAAAACATTTGTGTTATATGAATGCACTATTGGTAAATGGTCAGATAGATCACTTAAAATAATTCCGTTTATGCTGTCATTAAGTTTCTCAATATTGTTTGTAAAAATATTATCAATGAGTGTTGTTGTATGATGGGTAACTCTAGTTGCTTTCGTTATTAATGGGAAATATGAAGATGTAAACAATTGTTCTAAAAAACGGTTTGAATAATCACAAGATTCTGATTTAAATAGATCTATATTGAAATCACCCATAAGATAACAAATTTTGTTTTCTTTATCAATTATATCTAGGATTTTTTCCAATGAATTTTCGAACGAATCATTCTTATTGTTTGGTGGCCTATAAATTTCACCTATAATTATATTTTTACCAGTATTAGTGAGTATTTCTACAAAACTTGTTTCAATAGTATCTTCTATATTAAAGGTTAGGTCTGAGCGGATTTTGTAATCTAAATCTTTTGTGATATATAAACCAACACCGCCGCCTTTTTTGTTAGTCCGATTCGAAACAATAAAGTCATAGTTATCTAGTTGAAAATTGTCTGTGTTATAAATATCGCTTAACCATGTTTCGGATAAGCCTATTACGTGGAAATTTAAATTTAATGACTTAATCAGATGCTTGAAGGAGCAGAATTTGTTACAAATACTTCTTATGTTAAGATGCATTATTGAGAAATCGTTTTTTATGTCCATATTGTGTGTTTTTTTTTTAACTCATGCGGAAGATAATAATCACACTGCATCATTTCAGTGTTGAGGCATGTGTCTATTTGTGAATCATTATTGAAGACTTCCGGACCTATTTGTTGATTGAGAAAAAAGGAATTGAATTTCAATCTATTTAGTCTATCCATATCTGTATCGCTGAATACTTTCTTATGGTGAAATGCCGAAACTTTAGAATTAGTAACATTTTGTGAAAGAAAATTTTTGTTACTTTCTGTTATTTGTTCCATAGTTGAATGTATATATAATATTAATTAATGTAAGCGTGATAGACTGATAGCATATTTTGTTTATATGTAATATGAAACCTAGTGAGTAGAATTATGTCTAAAAAGTTGGCCATCTATATATAACTTATCTCTAACTAATTTTACTCTCCTACCATCCTCACGTGCTTTCTTCATTTCTGGCAGTAGTCGCTTTCTTAATTTAACAATTTCCTCCGGGAACTGTTCAGAAATTGCAATTCCTGTACCCTTTAATCGCCTCGCGTTAGCCAGTATACGTTCCTTATCCGGGTAAAAATTAAATTTCGCGACAATGGCTCTTGGTCTTCTCGATCCCGGTGTTCTTCTGCCTATTCTGTGTGAACGGTCTATCTTTATAGTCTTCGCATCCGATATTCCAAGTTGCTCTTGTAATAAGTTATGTATGAGGTTGTTTGTATTTTCGTCCTCACGCTCTGGTAAATTATAAAACATTAAGTTGTCGCGCATTGACCTTGCTTGTAGGTCAATGACGCGACTATTTAATGCTGAATTCTGCTCTTCTACTTTCGCCAATCTTTCTTTCGTCTCCGAGTCTGACTTCTTTAGCCCTGCGTTTTCTTTCTTCAGCGTTTCAACTTCAGCATATGCATATTCTAAAGATTCTTTTACTTCCTTCAGTTCTTGTTCCATCGATATCATACGCCGCCGAAAATATCTAATTTAACGAGCTTGCTCATAATAGGCCATCAGCCACTCAGCAGATTTTGACTTTTCGTTTCCCCCACACAGAGACAACAATTTGACGGGTGCAAATGTTGCTTAAAAGCTTATAAGGTCGAATAACAAAATGTTGTAATCGATAACACCTGCAGTTTTGCCAAAAATTGGCCTTCAAATTATGTAATTTTTACATTATATCGTCGCCATTTTTTCACGCATTTCGAAGCTGCGGTGTGCTCCTCGCGCATACCACGAAGCAGTGCTTCCATTTGCAATTAAGAAAATTTGCAAGGAAAATTAGGAAATAAAAAGCAAGGAAATAAAATTTAGAAGGAAATGGCAATGAATTTTGTTGTCAGGAAGGGAATAAGAGGGATATATTACGTTATTTCTAATAAATCCTAAGATTACAGCATTTTCCAAGCAAACTCGATTCAGAAAATGTCGAAAATCCTATCCTGTAAAATGGAAAATCCGAAAAAATTTTGAGGGATGACCAACAGCTGAAAAATTTGTTGCGCATGCGCCAGACTTCCATTGAAACTTGAAGATTTCCGTCATTTCCCTGGACTCCCGAAGAAATAAACGAAATGTTCGTGGTTGTTGTATATTTTTGAATATCTGTTTAACCTTTATAATTTTTTTTGCTTAACACAAAGTAGAATATACTCTACGTATCCTGTGTATAGAATATCTCGTTTGAACAGCAATAGAATATTATAATCTTGGCAAAACAAGAAGACATTTGACACGCTGAATCTGCTTTATCTACAGTCATTCCTGGCAATGGTCGCAAGCCTGACAGCTAGCCTTGTCAATCGGGAAACAAGTACAAATTTGAGTTCAAACAGAAAGAAGTCACGATTTTAATACAACTAACATATCTTCTATACAAATACGGCTGTTTTAAAATGTTTTCAATTTGAATTTTCAAACTGCTTTTATCTATCGACATCAGTGGCGTGCTGGCAGGGCCACGGCCCCCCAGCTGGCAATTCTTGGGGGGCGCAGAAATTAAAAGGGGGCGCCGATCCCGCGCCGAATTTTGAAAGTGGGTGGGAAAAAATGCATTCGCAAAAATATAGTTACCTCCGCCAAGAAAACGACAAAGTGATATATTAAATTACAGACTATTTTGTCTATTAAGCCGTATTTGCTAATTTGCTACTTCACGGCGCACACGAAATCATTTATATAGGAACATGATCAGTGATCAAACGCAATGTCTCATTACCGAAATATTGGTCAGGTTTGGAAGCGATCACGGGAATTATGCCCTTTTTTGCTGCTATTATGCCCTTATATTACGCCCTTTATTATGCTTCACGAGAGCGGCGCAAATTAGATAGTTGAAGTTATCATAATGTAGTGTACACAATTTAGTTGTTTGCGCAAGAAACATCATGAGTAATGTAAGTAATGAAATAATGCTGAAACGCGCCCTATTGGCAGCCAGGCAAGGAAATCTTAAAATGCATATGCGTGGGGTCCGTGTATTATTGTATAAAAGAGCTGTAAGTTATAAATGTATTCAGATCACTAGATCAGTAGAGAATAGAATTGGGATTAGATTAATTAATCGCTGGAAGTGGTTAGCATTGCATAATTTAAGTACAAATTGCAAATTTCCACACGTTATAATGCTATTTCCTGACCATCAGATTTCTGTCAAATCGTCCCCCAAAGTCCAGGAAATGGCATTTTAGAGACTCTAAATTCAAAAATCTTCCTGGGGGGCATGCCCCCGGACCCCCCTAGACAAACCTCGTAGGCCTACCTTCGGCGCTCGGCTCGTGCCTTCGGCCCTCGTTTATCAAGTGTAATATTGTAGGGGCGCATATTGGTTGACAGCCCACTGCCCCCCCAGAAAAATAGTACCCAGCACGCCACTGATCGACATGATAATCAAACTGTGCAAATGCCGGCTTTTGTTGAGGCTTGCGAATGCAAAATAACTTCCCGTAAACCGAGCATTTCAACACCGCAAACTCTCGCTTAGTCTTCTGATGCACTTGTACGTTCGGTTCTACCAGTTAAACAAGGAAAATATTCAAGAAACTCTGGTAAATTATGGTTGTCAAAAAACATTTCAGTGCTGAGGCAGTACAAGGTCTCAAGACCAAGGTCAAGTTGTCGATTTCATTACATTTTACAGTGCTTCGTAGCCTGCGAATACAGACTCTATTTATGTCGCTTATTCCACTTGGAGGGGGGGGGGGGACGCGATAAATAAGTTTTCCCCCAAGTGGAATAAGCGACATAAATGTAGACTGTTTCGCAGGCTAAGTGCTTCGATGTTCTCGAATTCTTGCTTCATACAAGAGCAGTAAGCGCACGCATTTCAAAGCGAAATTAGGCGCAAAGGGGCAATTTTTCATCAAAATTTGTTGTTAAATTCTGTTTCGTTAATTAAAACTAAATTTTCAAAACACTAAAAAAGCTAGTAAGAAGATAAAAACCTTACTAATTTGATCTTCATTTTGGACAAATTTTGATTAATGTTAATAAACATGTTTATGGAAACAATCGCTTGACGTCCGCACTGCGCTTAATTCCGTTGAGGCATAAATCTGCCTTCCTTTGAAACGCATGCTGGAACGCCCAATTCAAGGTATTATTACGACGGAAACATTTTAATCCTTTCTACAGGAGATTTATTGTCCGAAAAATAAAGTTGCTACAGTTAACTATTTGCATATCAAACATTGACTAAAAATGCTTACTCAGCATTTTTCCAAAACTTTGGTCAGCAATATTTCAGTAACAATTGACCGTACCGGATTATCGTAATATAGTTTTTTTGTACACATGTGATGCTCTATCTGTCAGTATTTTCAAAGTTTTGAATTTCAAATATTTTTAGTTTTCTCATCTATGGATGACGTCATACATAGATAAAAGAAATTTTCTCGAGACCTGCATGTTTGCCGAAGTACAACATTGGTGTTTTATCATTGAAATGGATCCACTCAACATATAATGAAATCAAAATATGGTCTCCGTGGGGGGGAAACGAAACTTGCTTTCCAGCTTCATTCTCGCGAGTGGCTGATGGCCTATAA